AGCGAGAGACAGAGAGACAGAGTGGCAGAGAAAAAGAGTGGTAGAATGGTGAAGTTTACAGAGATAGAAAGGTGATACCATAATATGGTGGCATAGGGTGTTATGTGTTGTACCTCTAATTTAAAGTTGATAGTTCAATTTCCTTATCACAATAAGATAGAAAAATGTGTAGGCAATTCTCTTAATATTTACAACCTCAGAAACTTCATGGAGGGTGGAACTAGAAATCAAAATACATTTGATGAAAGGGAATGTTGTAATATTTCTGTGTCTATATGCATATATAGTTATTATGTACTATTAATTTGGAATTGACTCATAGATGGTCCTTCAGTGGGTTTTCAGAGGCAGTAAGTCACAGGGGAGAAAATTGTCCATCTAAAACCGCATGTCTTCAAACTGGCAGCATAGTTCCTTACTTTTAGGCCACCAGTAATAATAATACTACATGTCATTACTTTTTTATTGTTGTTATATGCCATCAAGTAAGAACAGACTGGCTCACTGGTAACCCTCCAGTAAGTTTACAGAGGCTATAAATTGGAGAACGTCCATCCTTCTCCTACAGAGCAGCTGGCAAATGTGAACTGTATGCCTTTGAGTTGGCAGCATAACTCCTTCCAAGTAAGCTATCAGAGCGTGTATGTATATATTTTAAACTACAGAACAGTGTCATTGATTTCACATGCAAGCAAGATTCTGCTGAAGATCATCCAAAAACGATTAGAACAGCACATCAGCAGAGAACTGCCGGAAGTCCAGGCTGGGTTTAGAAGGGGTCGTGGTACTAGGGATATCGTTGCTGATGTTAGATGGATCTTGGCTGAAAGCAGGGAATACCAGAAGAATGTCTATCTGTGTTTCATTGATTATGCAAAGGCATTTGACTGTGTGGATCATAACAAACTGTGGCTGACTCTGAGAAGAATGGGAATCCCAGAACATTTAATTGTGCTAATACGAAACATATACTTGGACCAAGAGGCAGTTGTTGTCAGAACAGAGCAGGGTAACACTGCATGGTTCAAAATAGGGAAGGGTGTACGCCAGGGATGCATCCTGTCTCCATACCTTTTCAACATGTATGCAGAGCAGATTATCCGAGAGGCTGGGCTCTATGAGGAGAATTGTGGCATCAGGATTGGTGGAAGATCTATCAACAATCTCCGTTATGCAGATGACACAACCTTGCTTGCTGAAACTGAGGAGGACCTCATGCACTGCTGCGAAGGGTCAAGGACTGCAGCCTTCAGTATGGACTGAGGCTCAACGTCAAGAAGACAAAGATTCTCGCCACTGGACCAATTGGCAGCGTCAGGATGGATGATGAAGAGATTGAGAGTGTTCACAGCTTCACTTTGCTCGGCTCCACAGTTAACACTCTTGGTACCAGCAGTCAGAAAATCAAAAAGCGTATCGCGATGGGAAAGTCTGCCGTTAGGGACCTCTCAAACGTACTCAGGAGCAACAGCGTCTCTCTGGAGACTAAGGTGCGCCTGATACAGGTCATGGTATTTGCAATCGCTTGTTATGCATCAGAGAGTTGGACAATGACTAGGGAGGACAGAAGGAGAGTGGATGCTTTTGAGCTGTGGTGCTGGAGAAGGGTACTGAATGTACCCTGGACTGCCAGGAAAACAAACAGATCCATCTTGGAGAGGATTAAACCAAGCTGCTCCTTGGAGGCAAGGATTCTGGGGCTTCGTCCGACATATTTTGGACAAGTTGCCAGGAGGGACGGGTCCTTGGAGAGGGACATAATGCTTGGGAGGGTGGAGGGACAGTGCAGGAGGGGAAGACCCTCTATGAGATGGATTGATTCGGTGACTGGGGTAATCGGGATGGGTGTGTCGGAGGCGGTGTGGTTGGCGCAGGATAAGGCAGGGTTTGGAGCTGTTGTGCATAGGGTCGCTATGAGTCGGAAATGACTCGATGGCACATAACAACCACAACAACAACATATATAGACCAATTGGCAGTGTCAGGATGGATGACGAAGAGATTGAGAGTTTTCACAGCTTCAGTTTGCTCGGCTCCACAGTCAACACTCTTGGCACCAGTAGCCAGGAAATCAAAAAAGTATTGCTATGGAAAAGTCTGCTGTTAGGGACCTCTCTAACGTACTCAGGAGCAACAGCGTCTCTCTGGAGACTAAGGTGCGCCTGATACAGGTCATGGTATTTGCAATCGCTTGTTATGCATCAGAGAGTTGGACAATGGCTAGGGAGGATAGAAGAAGAATTGATGCCTTTGAGCTGTGGTGCTGTAGAAGGGTATTGAATGTACCATGGACTGCCAAGAAAACAAACAGATTCACCTTAGAGAGGGTTAAACCAGGCTGCTCCTTGGAGACAAGGATTCTGGGGCTTCGTCTGACATACTTTGGACATGTTGTAAGGAGAGACAGGTCTTTAGAGAGGGACCATCATGCTGGGTGGTGTAGAGGGACAGCGCAGGAGGGGAAGACCCTCTATGAGGTGGATTGATTCAGTGACTGGGGTAATCGGAATGGTTGTGTCAGGGGCAATGCGATTGGCAAAGGATAGAGAAGGGTTTAGGGCTGTTGTACACAGGGTCGCTATAAGTCACTAATGACTCGAAGGCACATAACAACAACATATAGATATTTAGGTGTTTGAGTTGACAGTTTGAATCAATCCAGCAGTTTCATGGGAGAAAGAGAAGATCTACTTCTGTAAATATTACAACTTGAAAATCCTAACAATGGAGCTCTGGTGGCCTAATGGATAAGGAGGTGTGCTTCCAACCCAAAGGAACAGGATTCAAATACACCAGCTTTTCCACAGGAGAAAGATAGGCAGCCTCCTTCTATGAAATGTACTGCCTCTAAAAACCTGTGAGAGGGTCACCTTTGAGTCAGTTTCAACTTAAGAGTAATGAGTTGTTTGAGAAAATCCTATGATGCATTTCTACTTAGTCATATGGGGTTGCTTTGTGTCAAAATTGAATCAACGACGCCTAACAAGAACATATTCAATGCCTGTTTACTTATAATTGTTGTGAATGAAGTTGTTTGCCTTCAGAGTGCAATGTCTCATTTCTGCATAAATTTTGTTGTTCTTGTTGGCAAGAGTTTGTTCTTGTTTTTTTTTCTTAAATAGAATGTTTTTTTTATTTTTGTTTTAATAAGGAGGTCTCATTATCACTTAATGTCCTATTTTTGGAAGCATGCTTTCCTAAAAGGATACAATTATTTATTTTCAGATGTAAGCAATAGGTAAAAATTATATAACTCTATGTGTGACAGGAGTCTTGTTTTGTTTTGAACACAGATAATAAAATCCTTTAAAAACCAACTGATGCCTAACTGCAAAATTATTTCAGAAATCAGTACAAAAATAAGGGAGATAGATATGCTGAAGGAAATAAATTTACTCTTCTAATAAAAGCTGAATTCTGCAAACAAGCTTTGTACTAGGCAGTAGGCTGAAAAGACATCACATAAGCAGTCACCTACAATGCACAAGTATAGAGCTAGCCATAAATCTTACCGCAATATACTTGCTGGGTAGACTTACATTTAATTTTTCCTTATACTGCAATATAATAGGTTTAGTAAATAAATATAAGAAGACTGGAAGCCAACACATTTTTCACACATAAATTCAGACAATGAAAAGAAATAGAGAAATGAAATAGTGGTGACTATATTGCTTTGCTTTAAAACAGAAACAACTTGAAGATGCTTAGAAAATTTTATAAGACACATGGAAGATGGAAGAGATACAAAAGACAATTTATCTTTTTAACACTTTGCTGTTATTTAAGAGGCAACACATGGGTTCATAGTTAGTCAAATATCCTGAATTTAGAGTTTTCTCTTATGCTTAAAGATGATCATCATGTAAAGTGTAACAACAACACAAAATAGTCATAGGTTATGTGTTCTCTCAGTAAATCTCACAATGCTAAGTTAAAAGCAAGCATTGCAAAGATGAACTTGTTTGAATCTGTTTTCCTACTTTAGAAATATACCAAGAACTCATGTTTGCACTTTCAGTATGAAGTAAAAAAAAATCATCTTATTCAATGTTTTGAAATCAGATATCATCACAGTAAGAACAATAGTATTCTACAATATCAATGTCTTCTTAGATAATAAGACATGATAATCTTAAAATGTCAGAATATTTTCTTTCTAATTTTCTACAGTTATCTTAGGTTATTAAGAAAATATAGTATCAAGAATCAATAATGTTGAAATCACAGACATAGTTTTTCTCAGTAACTAGAAAATGCTTTGTGTTCCAAATTATAAACTCTTACTGAAAATACTAAATGCTCAAATTCTTAAGCATTTTAACCTGTTTTTTAACCAATTAATAAGGCACAAAACATTAATATATTCTACTGAAGCTTGTATTTTTAGTGCCAGTAATAGAGATGAATTTTGTGAGTTTATTAACTTTATAAAACACCAAATCATACCTCAAATGAATATTACACTTTTGTATTAGTTAGTGAAATAGCTTTGTTTCAAAATAGTACCTACATATGAAAAATAGTGTACAAGTAAATAGTGATCAGGTGAGTATTAAATTCTATTTATCAACAGTCAACAATTTAATAAGGATCTAACTTACCGGTGGATCAGCCCCCTTAGAACCAGCCAAACCTCCTGCTAAGGATTCAATATCCTAAAAAGAAGAAAAATGTGAATTATAAAATGCTACTTAAACCATGGAAAATTCTCTAATCTTACAATGTAGTATATTCTTAGCTGCAAGTTAGGGGATTTTAACTATTATTTTTAGATCTTACAAAACATAATGATACATAAGAAATAGTACATGTCTCTAAAAAGCTGAAGATCACCATCACTAAACATGCTGGGAAAAGAACAAATATCAACAGATTAATAATATTTAAAATATGCAAGAAAATTAACTGGGAAAGCAGACTTTAAGCTGAGATGACTTCAAAACATAAAAAGAACATTTCATTAAAAAATGCTTCAAAATATTTTTTTCAAGAATGCTAATCCCATGGAAACATAAAAGCTTAATTTTCTTAAGATTAATCATCATGTTATGAATAGGAAAATGGAAGGAGATATAACCGGGATAGCTACTCCTTTAAAAAAATAAATTTCAAATTTTAACTCAGTAACTACAGGTCAAAGGTCTGACAAATAAGTAAACAGATACTATGCTGTTGTTATGTGCCGTCGAGTTGCTTGCGACTCATAGCGACCCAATGTACAACAGCTCTAAACTCTGCTCTGTCCTGTGCCAATCTCATTGTCTCTGACACACTCATCCCAATTACCCCATCACTGAATCAATCCATCCCCCAGAGGGCCTTCCCTTCCTGCATCTGCCCTCCACCCTTCCAAGCATGATGTCCTTCTCCAAGGACCAGTCCCTCCTCAGGACATGACCAAAGTATGTCAGATGACGTTTCAGAATCCTTCTCTCCAAAGAGCAGCCCAATTTAACCCTCTCCAAGATGAATCTGTTTGTTTTCTTAGCAGTCCATGGTACCCACAGCACTCTTCTCCAACACCAAAGCTGAAAAGCCTCAATTCTCCTAATCCTTCCTGGTCATTGTCATCATTGTCCAGCTCTCTGATGCATAACAAGGGATTGCAAAGACCATGGCCTGTACCAAACACACCTCAGTCTCTAGAGACACACTGTTGCTCTTGAGGACTTTAGAGAGGTCCCTAACAGCAGACTTCCCCATCGCAATACATCTTAATTTCCTGGCTGCTGGTTCCAAGAGTGTTGATTGTGGAGCCAAGCAGTCTAAAGCTGTGAGCAATCTCAATATCTTCACCATCCATCCTGATGCTGCCATTTGGTCCAGTGGTGAGAATCTTTGTCTTCTTGACATTGAGCCTCAGTCCATACTGAAGGCTGCAGTCCTTGACCCTCTGCAGCAAGTGCTTCAGGCCCTCCTCAGTTTCGGCAAGCAAGGTTGTGTCATCTGCATAACGCAGATTGTTAATAGATCTTCCACCAATCTTGATGACGCATTTCTCCTCATAGAGCCCAGCCTCCCGGATGATCTGTTCTGCCTACAGGTTGAAAAGGTATGGAGACAGGACACATCCCTGGCTATGCCCTTCCTAATTTTGAACCACGCTCTGTTCCTTACTCTGTTCTGACGACTGTCTCTTGGTTCAAGTGTAAGTTTCTCATTAGCATGATCAAGTGTTCTGGGATTCCCATTCTTCTCAGAGTCAGCCACAGTTTGTTATCATCCACACAGCCACATGGCTTCGCATAGGCAATGAAAAATTATGTACCCCATGTACAGAGACAACTACAGTATAACTTCTATCAGTCTTGGTGTCTGGCAGTTTGTTTATGAGCGATATGAATTTTTAAAGAAAAGCTAGAATGGTAGATTTTAAATTAAAATTCTTAATTTCAGATGTTTGTATCTGATTTAATTCACTTCACACTTTATCCTAACTTAAGAAACACTTAGTGAGCTGAGATTCTACATCAATTCTAGTAGGTAAAAGCTTTGTCGCATTTTTTATTAGAAAAGCTTTTTCTGGTGGCCCTGATTGATTCTTAACTTTTAGTGTCCAGTTTAATGGATAGATATAAAGCATTCTGGAGAATTGTAGTTATTGTAAGAGCCAAAATGAAAGAAATTTCAATTAAAATTGAAATAAATTGCTGTAATTAGAGAAACAAGACAACATCTTGATATAAATCAAAGGACTTATGCCACTCATTCAGTTTAGATTTAACTACATTATTATTACCCTGGGGTTTTTTTTAACAGGATTCAGCACAGTATGGATGCATTCTTGCAACACAGAAACATAAATGTTGCATTGTTAACCAAAAGCTGGGTCCTTTGAGTCTACCAGCTTCTCCTCAGCAGAGTGAGGAACATTCTCAGATTTACAACTTCAGAAACCAGGTGAATTGGTTGCTAGGAGTTGGAATTGACTTGACAACAGTTGATGATACAATATGGGCTGACATGAATCTGTGAAAGAAATAATAAAGCCGTGGTAAGAAGGGAGAAGGGATCGTGTGATCCAAAGTTCCCATCTGAAGCAGCTGACTTTGAAGAGAATCCTAATGGATAATGATATCTTTACAAATATTTAACTAAGGATCATAAATCGTGAAGTAACCACAAGAAAAATACCACCTTTTCAAAGTTCCATCATGAGAATTCTTTCTATGAAAAAGATGTTATTTCAATTTCACTTTATTTTAACTTTAAACTGACACAGTAGTCAGGGTCTGAAGACAAATCAAGAAAAGAATGTAGAGGATGAATGTGAAAAAAAAAACCCTTAGTATCTAGTTTTTAACAAAATGAACAAAAGACAAATTATGTATTTATGGCTCTGTATTTATGCTGTGCAGATGTATAGTCTTATTCCTTTTATTCATTCAGTTGTAAAACAGCATCTTGAGCTCATGTTCTATTTTGAGTACAAGTTGAAAAAGAGTGTCCTACTTGGACAGAGACCCAATTTATATGTGGCTTACTACTTGATGCAAAAAGACATTCAGATGTGAATCCTGAATATAAGTGCGCATGAATTCATATGAAGTGCAAAATTAATAGATGAATTAAATACATTCTTTGAGGACTTGCGAGCATATGCATTTATCTGTAACTCTCAAATGATAACCAAAATTGAATCAACTTTTGATAACTGTTAAGTATACTATCTTACTAATTATATGTATGATCCTTGACAAATAGATTGGTCTTGTTTTTTTAAAATATAATTTTATACAGCAAACAAAGAATCAGACCCATTGCCGTTGAACTGATTCTCAGAATGAATTTATAAGACAAAGTAGAACTGTGTCATAGTGTTTCTAGCACCACAATCATTATGGAAGCACACTGTTACATCATTATAATGTAGATTATCTTGTGTGTTTGAACTGTTGACTTTTTATTTAGTAATCAATTACATAATGAATATGCCTCCAGGGCTCCTACAACAAAAAAAGGGCTTAAAAAGTAAAAGGAGTATGCCAGTCAACATTTAGATATAAAAGCTAAAAATACTAGCAATTTTAACTTTAACTATATGTGTTTATACTTTGTTGTTATATCAAACTTCTAAAATTGTTTCTTTAATAATTTAAGAATATTTGACAGTGTGGAAATTATCAAAAGCAAGATTCTGCTGAAGATTATCCAAAAATAACTGGAACGGCACATCAACAGGGAACTGCCTAAGTGCAGGCTGGATTTAGAAGAGGTTGTCCTACTAGAGCTATTACAGCTAATGTCAAATGAATCTTGGCTGAAAGCAGAGAGTATCAGAGGAATGTCTATTTGTGTTTCATTGACTATGCAATGGCATTTGATTGTGTGGATCACAACAAACTATGGCTTACTCTGAGAAGAATGGCAACCCTGGAACACTTGATTGTGCTTATGAGAAATCTATACGTTGACCAAGAGACAGTTGTCAGAACAAAGAAACACTGTATGGATCAAAATTTGGAGAGTATGTGTCAAGGATGTGTCCTATCTCCATATCTTTTCAGTCTATATGCAGAACAGATTATCTGGGCGGCTAGGACCTATGAGGAGAAGTGTGGCATCAGGAATGGACATCAACAACCTGCGTTATGCAGTTGACACAACTCTGCTTGCTGAAACTGAGGAAGACCTGAAGTGCTTGCTGCAGAAGGTCAAAGACTGCAGCCTTCAATATGGATTGCAGCTCAACATCAAGAAAACAAAGATTCTCACCACTGGGCTGATTGGCAGTATCATGATAGATGGTGAAGAGATTGAGATTGCCGACAGCTTCAGTTTGCTTGGTTCTACAATCAACACTCTTGGTGTCAACAGACAGAAAATTAAGAGACAAATTGCACTGGGGGAGTGTGCTGTTAGAGACCTTTCCAAATTAATGAACATCAACAATGTCAGTCTGGAGACTAAAGTGCGCCTGATACAGGCCATGGTCTTTTCAATTACTTTCTATGCATCAGAGAGCTGAATAATGACTAGGGATGATGACAGGAGAGTTGATGTCTCTGAGCTGTGGTGCTGGAGAAGAGTGTTGAGTATACCATGGACTGCTAGGAGAACAAACAAGTTCATCCTGGAGAGGGTAAAGCAAGGCTGCTCCTTAGAGACAAGGATTCTGAAGCTCCATCTGACATACTTTGGACATGTTGCGAGGTGGGACCAGTCCTTGGAGAGGGATGTCATGCTTTGGAGGGTGGAGGGACAATTCAGGGGAGGAAGACCCTGAACAAGATGGGTTGGTTCAGTCACTGGGCTAATGGGGATAGGTGTATCGGAGACAATAAGATTGGCAAGGGTAGAACATGGTATAGGGCTGTTGTACATAGGTTCGCTATGAGTCACAGGCAACTAGATGTCACATAACAACAACAAAAACATATAGTTTATAAAACTTAGTATCATACAGTTATTAGTGAAAGACATAAAACATGTTTGTGTGACTCCAAAAACTCATGGTTTTATATACTTGTTCTTTTCATTGTGTGCTATCAAGCTAGAACTGATGCTGCCTGTGTACCTTCCTAAGCATGATGTTCTTCTCCAAGGAATAACCTCTCCTAGCTACACACCTAAGTTATGTGAGATGAAGCTTCATTGTCTTTTGCTCCAAAAAGCACTCTGGCTGCACTTTGTCCAACATATCATTTGTTCTTTG